CACTCCAGTCATACACTCACCTGTCCCTAATCCAACAAGATATTGCTGAACAGATTGCAGGGCCACTTTCAATATCTTCCCGGCTGGGCCCGCACAAATTTGTACTCAGAACCACCATAGGAATGAATAGTGTGCAGATCGCATGCATGGGTCGGAAGGATTATGACAAGCAGCTCTGCCTTCTGGTCAGGAATATCTTGCTGGATCAGGTGAGTAGAAAACCGAATCAAGAAGTGGACAAGTGGTTGTTTTATTGCCTGAAAATATACATTTATAGGATGAAAACTGTAAAACTGGGGTATTCCTGACCTGTCCAATCACCAGGAGGAAGGAGCTGGAGGCTGAGGCATCGGAGGTTGGAAGTCAAGGTTTTGTACTGCCTGCAGTATCTGTAACCCTGCTTGGTGCTGAGCAGAGAGCGGGGCAAAGCTTCCTGGAAGGAGAAGTCTAAGAGTTCCTCTTACTGCCTGCCGTATAAACAGATACCCATTAGTTTGTCATAATCAGACTTGCACATTTTTCTGTTGCACTCTGTGGTTGATGTTTATTTTTGTGATGGACAGTGTTCAACTATATACTGTATCTGAAAGTGAATATGTCACATTAACATACAGTACCAATGCCATAGCCAAAATGTTGAGTGCAAGGTGTCCACAGCAAGCCAGCACTCAAGGGCAAAACTGCTGCCAGAGCTTGAGAACCTTGTGAACTGATAATTTCTTGTGCTGCACTGTTATCAGTTACATTGCTCCCAACTATCTCTGAACACTACAGAATACATCCCTCCAAACATAAGTAGATGACAAGGCATTTTATTTTCCTAACATACTTCCCTCCACAGGGGGACAACGTTGGTCCTCCATGGATACAGTATAGTGACTGAGCATTGTCATCCTAAGTCAGGAAGTGTGTTAGTGGCAGGATCACCAGGTGAAAATAAAGGGACAAATCCTGAAAAGAGAAAACTAAAGTAACCATTACATCAAAGGACTGGAAAACTGCAAAATAATATATTTTTATTTTAAGGTTTAGACATATGTGAAGTGCCGTTGTTCTTCTATTTATTGTTGCCTACTTTGACTGATAGAGGTATTCGTTTTCGAGGCTTTGTCTAAAAATTATGGTTTTCATGAGGTGTACCCCCGCTTTTCCTTGAGAAAGACCATCCCAACCAACAGATTCTGACTCTGAGCCTTGTCAGTTAAGGGGTATAAGTGCAGCCTATAGTTTATCTAGTTCAAACATTTTATCAGTTATAAAGCATGCCATCTCACACAGATAAAGGTATACCTATATATCATTTATTATTCACCTTTACTGGATGAAATAGGTGACAATTGTCCTGTTTCTTGTGGACCCCCTGCAAAAATAATGATAGCTTTTGGCAAATCATATAGCTGGCACTATTCCTTCTCAGAACACTAGATGTCAGTGGTGGCATTTAGTCTTTTCTAGCAGCTCTATCTCTTTCTTTACAGGTTGTTCCAACTGTGTTCAAACCACTGGATTCAAAAGAATTCTGAGACCCTTGTTTTCTTGCCACACACTCTATAACCCCAGGATGAGGGGATCCTGCAGCATGCAGGAGCCCCTTCCATTAGAGCAGAAGGTATGTGCAGATCCCTTAGGATTTAAATTGATCAAAGTGCAAAATCAGGGGCATGCCAATACAAATCTCCACTATAGTTGTTTTTAACACAATTAAGGAGACCCTGAAAATGCAAGCATAAGCAAAGAAAAAGTATTTTATTCTGGATAAAATGTGGAAGGGTTAGAGCTGTTGCTTGATTTCCCAGCTGGGAAGATTCAACTTCTGTATTAGTATCAGCAGTAAAGGCAGTGATGGGAAATCCACATTTTAACATTGTCACTGGAACATTAAGTGAAAATAAATCTGCAACTAGGGACACTCATCGAGGAGGGGATTTCCGCACACTTTGGAGAGATTTCCTGTCACTTCCTGTTGTGTGGGACATAGCAATTAAAATAAATGCTTGGGAAAGTGGATAAGAAGCACTGAAACCCTCATGTTTCTTTATATGTTTCTTTAGTTCTGATTATCAGTTAGTGGCAGGATCGGACTGACCATTTGGAAACTCGGGCACTGCCCGAGGGCCCGGGGTCAGTAGGGGGCCCCATGAGATGCCCCTGGTACCTTTTTCATAGGCTTTTTTGAGTTTGGGCAAGGACACAGGGGCCCCATGATCCCCTATTGCCCAGGGGCCCCATGAGTTGTCAGTCCGCCCCTGGTTAGTGGTATGGTGGTGGTAATAAATATGAAGAAATTAATATTGGGCTGGCAGTTTCTGCACACTTAAGGGCTTCTACAATCACCTGGTTTGTGATAGGGAAAAGTGAATTTAGAATTGAAGCACCACACCATAATACTCAAGTCCAAATACAAGTGTATTCCAACAATAAAATGTTTGCAACACCAACATGCTTTGGGGACTGTAAGCCAGCCCATGGATGATACAGTTTTATTCTTCAACCAACATGTTGAACGAAAAAAACTGACTTGATTAGTCCTCCTTGCTAAGCTATTGTATTCTGACAGCGGGGAGACTTCTCCACCATCAGAATACACCGATCAGCATCGCAGGCTATAGTTGTAGAGAAGTTGTACAGAAGTTGATCGCTAGATCGATTTCTGTACAACCTCCCTGCCCATATATGGATCAAAATTTCAATCGATGTATGACCAGCTTAACGCTATCAGGGTTCACATATAACGCAAAAGATGAAAACACAATAAAAAGTGGTTATAAATACATTATTGTAACACGGGCTTCAGAGCTAACAGGGCTAACTTCTGGACAAGGTCTGACCTACAGGGGTCACAGGGATAGCAATTGCGACCCAGCCTAGGCTCCAGGGGGCCCTTGCTTACCCCCTGTACACCTAGATAAGAGGAGTGGTGGGGCAGCTGCATACAGAGGAAAACGATCTCTCTATTTTCCATCATCAGCTGCAGGAGGAAAATGGAGAGATTGTTTCTGCTGTATGCAGCTGCCCACTGCAGTTCCTCCTATCCAGCTACTTTCTGCTGCACGCCTGTGTGCTCTCCTGCACCCCTGTGTTCTTTCCCAGCCCCTATGTTCTCTCTCTTAGCCCCCCCTTGTCCCCCGCTGCTCTGCTGGCTTCCCTCTTCCCCTCTCCCTGGCTGCTGCGGGGAATACTATCAAGATGCAGAGCAGGGAAGGGGCTGGTAAATGTGTGATTTACCATCCTCATCCTTGTCTTAATGAATATAGTCAGTGATCCGTACCGATCACTGACTCTGTTCATTCATAACTGAAACATAGTAAACTGTAGAACTAATCTTGTCCATTCAGTCTGTGCAGCTGAGGTTGAAGAGATGGATATTGAGGGCTGTGTCCTCAATCTCCTTTCTCTGTCTCAAAATTGGAACATGAGGTCTGTTTATACCCCTGATGTTTCACCAAAACCCCCCCAACAGGGCCCCTAAAAAAACTGTAAAAAAAATGTTTTTTTAATTGTAAAAAAATGGTAAAAAAAATTTAAAAAAATAAAAAAATTACTGACACCAGTGGCAGAACTACCAGGGTCACAAAGGTCACACCATGGCATTCCGCCACCAGGCTCAGAGGTCCTGCACTGGGACCCTGAAGGCTCTATTTATGCCACTGCAACTGAATCATGTGACACAATGATTTATAGATTGTGTAATATGCAGAGTCCGAGATCACCATCAAGCTGCTTCAGCAAACATAAACCGAACAGTCCATAATCCTGCTATAATTAAGGCAACTTAATGGCTCACTCCCAATATAGCAGTCCCACACTTGGGTTTAGGGTTCCCACCTGCTTTGGGGTGCAGGAAAAGCCTCAGGAGCTCAGCAAAACAAAGTTTCAGTCTCCAGATAGTCCATAGGTCACCTCACAGCTTTGAACCACTCCAAACTACCTCATAGACATGGCTGACTCCCTCCTGCTGATTTTCAAACCTCCCTTGAAGGTGGGTTAACCCTTTCAGAGCCAAAATCCCTATAATCAGGGTTTGGAGGCTCTTTTCCACCCGAAGTCTATCTGAGCCTCTGAATTCCAGGTCTCAATCCAGGGACTACTGAAGTCAGTCCTCTCCTCTCTGACCAGGCTACCCCTGAACCGCTCACCCTGCATAGGTGAGAACCCCTGAGCACTAAAAATGTCCTTTGAACTCTACCTTAAAGGGACCACAACCCAAATAGTATGGAAATACTGTATATCTCCATCTCCAGGACCCATCCTTGGCATCCTGTACGATATAAACGTATTTTTTATATTTTGTGTTATATGTTAGCACCGAAGAAGGTGCAGCGTTACAGCCCCCAAAATGCTTTGGATCAGCAAACAATATATTACAGGAATAAACCTGTATTTGGACTTGAATATTGTGGCGTGAACTTCATTTCTAAATTCAATTAAATAAAAAAAAACATGAAGGGGTACCAACCATTCCTTAAGCTAACCAAATCTAAAAAAATAAAGGAGTAACTGACCCAGAATGGGAATGCAAATGTTGAATTACAGGTGAAATCAAACTCCCTGATCTGCAGAAATGTTCCTTGTCAGAGCCTCAGAAAGTATGGAAGCCAGAGGATCATCATGAAAGCCAATCACCTCATCAAAATGAGATGTCAGGTATGGGTAACCTTTATATTTTTCTTAGTACAGGTTTCCTCTACACTCAGCCTAACCCATAAACCTAAACCTGCACCTAACCCTTATCATGAAAATGATCACAGAGGTATTGATTTGAAAATATCACATGGAAATTTGTCTGCCTCAAAATAGAACACACCACAAATTCTGCTCAAAATGTTTGTGGCCAACACAATTCCCAAACTTCGGTACCAGGGACCGTCCCTGTATACCAGACAAGCTGAACCATTATCAGACAGACGCTGTGTTTCCTCCTGGCAGGGAGCTCTGTAAACCTGTGCCCGGAATAAAGAGGAACTACTCACCCCCGCTGACCGGGTTGGCCCGCGGCTCTTCTTGCTCACAGGGCTAATGGCCTGTTCCCTGCCATGTCTGGATCCAGCACTGGGGACACCTGACAAAGACAAAGGCACAGACTTGTCAGTGGGGGCTTATTTTTGTGTTGCCTTACCAATCAATGCAAAATTGAGCCTTATTTCCGTTCTTTGTTGAAATTGAGACATAATATTTACAGGAATCTACTGAGAAAACATAAAAGGGCAAGGCGTTAACGTAATAAACGTTTCATTGAATACTAGACCAAGCTCACCTACAATGACTGTTGCTATAAATAAATAAATAAATTAAGTAAAAAAACAGCCAGTCTGCAACAAAAGAGTAATTGTACCATGAGAAAACAGAGGGAGTTGACCACACTTTGCTAAAAACATAATTATAGCCTCTTAAATGCCACCAACCCATGAGTAGCCAAAATTGTACTAGAAAAATGAATGGGACTTTAAATGTAGCATTGAGAGCATATCAGTTATAATAAAAGATGGCAAATGTATTTTGTATTGTAGTTACATATACCACTCTGTGAAAACTCCAATAGGGTACAGTATCAAATTCATATACAAAATATACCCAATCCATATTTTCAGACATCAGCCTATTGTACGGTAAACCATTAACAAAATTTAGAGATCTGTTTACAAAAGTGCTGTGTGAATGGATCAACAATTACCCATTATTTGTCTAATATGTTTTATTTCCTATGATCATCTGCTCCATCTAGTGGCCATAATGCGGTATTTTCCTGAAATACCTCAATCAGGAAAAATACTATATGGCCACTAGATGGTACTGACGGTCATAGAAAATAAAACATATAAGACACAATATAGAGATTATTCGTGATGGTTATGTGAATGGTTGAAGAATTAACACAGTAATTCTGTTTATAAATAGATTCCTTATGCCTAGTACACATGATGAGAATATCAAATGGATGAAAGTCCATTTTTTGGAGGGGTTTTGTATGCTAGTCTCATATTAAAAATTAATAGGTTACTAAAGTTACGAAAATTCTTGTAAGTCAGAATACAACTTTCCGTGATGATGTAATGTATTGTATTAAAATGTATGCTTTCATTTCTGAGCATGCACGGTCTTGATCACTCGATTTTTGTTTTTCGTACAAAGACTATACTAATTGCAAGAAAATCATTTGCTCTGTTATTTCACGAGAAAAATTCTAGTGCTTGTCCCTTCAGATATTTTTACATGAACTGCTGTGATCAGTTCTCAAAAGCTGTGTACTAACAAATAGAATATCACACAATCGTTGCATCTTTTTCGGCTGATTTTCTCAAAGTGTTTAGTGTTTATACACCCATGTTGACATATTTTCTGTTGAATTTGCTTTTTCATGACTGGGTTGCATGAATTGCTATGGTTTATCAAGGATTCATGCTTGAATAGTTGCCATACATAAGGACGTTTAATGGTCAACTCTCACCCAGCACCATACGAACAAACTACCCACTTGGATAAGAGAAAGCAGACTCCACCACCACCACTTCCACCACCCAGTTATCAGCAGCAGGGAACATCCCAACAAATGGTGGTGTGCCGTGGAAAGGGGCCAAACAGTATTGGTTCCCAGGCAGGAAGACTAGAAAGGGGGCCAAATTTAGCCCAGATAATGGGTGCCCTCCACCAGAGACTTTGATCTTCAGTCTGTTGCAGAGCTACACCAAGTGAGCTACAAATCTTCAGCATCTACAACCTTCACTTTGTATGTTTGATGGCTCCAGGTATTGCTGCTCGCTGTTGTTCCACTTATCATCCACTACTTTGTTAGTGTGTCCCTTTGGAGTCATAGTGGCATAGCAGCCAGTGGGTGGAACTACAGCGCACAGCCGGGGAGTCAGCCATCCAAATAGCCTGGAAGTGTAGGATACTGAAGATTGACCTCTTGTAAATCCTCAAGTGTACCTGTCACTAGGAAGAAGGTCACAAGCAAAGTGTGCCACTAACATTTCTTACTGGAAGAGGGCGTTGATAATCTTGTCTGACGACACTGACTGTTGTTATCGCATCCCAAGGGTATGAATCGGCTGGGAGTGAAATCGGGGTGAGTCAGGGAAGCCGTACTCTGTGCCCATGGGCTGGAAGACATTGGGAAGAACAGCAGGGGAAATCTTCTCTCTACAGATAACAGAAAAAACGTTAGACATATGTAAGCCTATGGCCACAAGATAAGATGTGATACATAAAATAATGTTTGTACATTGTAGTGAAATTGTAATGGCTGTTTTGGGTGCAGTAATTTACTGTCCATGTTCTATCTGGGAAGACACAACAGGAATTGATAGGAAATCTCCCCAAAGTGAAGGGAAGTCCCCTCTTAAACAGGTATCCACGGAACAGGTGCCCCCTCTATTCCTGTTCTAGTAACAACTGTAAAATTTTGGATGTCCCACCATTTTCACTCTTAATGGCAATGATTATCGGGACAAATAAAGAGGGTGACTCTCCCTAGCAGGGACTCAGACATATATAGGATTCATATACTGTAGTGGCAACAATTTGCCCTGATTGCAAGAGCATGCAATCTAAGGCCTCCTTCACACAGGCAAAGGAGCATACACTGGATTCCACAGATTTTGGGGTCTTGGATGATAGATGTGTGTGAACACTTACTGCTCAGTCTATACAAAGCAATGACAGGCTGAGAGAAGCAGACACTGTTTGCACATATCCACCCAAGCAGTGGTTACCTGCAGTTAAGGACTGATGTCTGAGCTTTAACTGATAACTGCTTCATGTGTATCTAGTCATGTAGTCATGGATAGCCATGGCTGCTGCCAGCTTATCATTTATTCACATGGGCAGCTAATTGTAAATACCAATGATTCCAGCTGCAAAAATCCACTGACTATTGCCACCAGAATTCGCAAACTGGCCCTAATCACTCATGTGAATGAGGCCTAAAAGGGAGGGTCAAATGTTTCAAGAGATAATAACTGTGAGGGATGAACTAATTGAGAAGGTAAAGATTCAGTTTATTAGGTACAGGTGGACTAGGTGGGCAGAATAGAATATAGCTGGACAGATTGGGGAGTTCCAGAGGATGGGAGAGGTGATAGTTCTGGAGATGAGCATGGGAGATGGTGAAGAGGGCTAGAGAGGAGGTTTTGGGAGGAGTAAAGAAGACAGTTTGGAAATAAGAAAAGGAAATGATAAGGGAATACTGCCAAAAATGCTTTATCAAATCGCATGATAGTAGCAGGTTGAAAGTAGATCCCATCCAAAAATATCCCATTGCGTAAATGAAAAGGACATCATATAGCCTAGATATAGCAGTTACACGCATGATGGCATGATGCAAACCTATGATTCATATACACGATCTCTGCTCTAGCTTCTATGAATACTGTGTTACTAAATATGGTATTATAATAACATTGGAGGACTGTATGAGATACTGTGTATTCCGTCATTGAATTTATGATTGGACATTTTGCCTTCATATGACACACACATTCGATGATCAAAAGACTTTTCAGTACTAAACTCCTATTGAATAGGACTTCATTCATCCGCAGTATGGGTCCTCCTTTCTTTCCATCACACGTCATTACTGCTTTATAACTAGAACTCATTGGTAAATGCAGAAGGGTGTTGACATCTTCTTGATGGTTGATAACGTTGTCATCATGTTTAAATATACGCAATAGGATATTTTTGGATGGAGATTTACATTCAAGCTTTTTATATCACATGAATTAATAAGCTATTTTTGGCAGTACTCCTTTATATGGTTTATTTTACTTTTTCTTCTTTCACATTTTCTTTTTGCATTTAAAAAATGTCCAAAATATTGTCAGACTGGACATTTGAGATGCATAGTTGTGAACTGCTAAGCTGGGGCTCCACAACTATAACATCTTCCGGCAGACAAAAACAGAAATCTTTAGATTCATGCTGCTGTTGTGACTGTTGATCAATAGCTGAGCCTTATAATTGAATGTTTAATCTCCTCCTCCATCCTAGTCTACATAGGAGATTAAACAATATTAATTTATACTACAAGATTGGGCAATAGAGGGAAAGTGATTGTTCAGTGTGATTGCATATTTCTTGTGGGCAGCTGTTGTAAAAGCTAATATGATGTAAATGATGCAATTGATCACAGGAAATTTAAACAGTTGCACTACTTAAAGTAGATGTAAACCCTTTCAGTTATCTTCTTTTATGTTTTCCCTTTTAGTCTGATAAATATACAATTAGAAATGTTTATTTATATCTGTTTTAGAAGTGCAAAAAAACACCAATTGATTGAAAATGTGCTACAGACAGGATCACCTGGTGAAAATGAGAAAGAAGCCTAAAAAAAAAGAAAACGAATACAGCCACTTGGTGACACCCCCTCTGACGATCCCCGCAGAATAGATCAGATCTGCAGATTGAGCCTAATGGATCAGACTACGATCCATTATGCTCCTCAATCCGCAGATCCGATCCATCCTGCAAGAATTGTCGGCTTTCTTTACACCTTACCTTTTCATGGAGCGGGTCCGGTGTCACCCCGTATAGGTTGCACGCTGATGATCCCTGCAGGATGGTTCAGATCTGCGGATTGAGCATACTGGATCGGAGTCCGATCCATTATGCTCCTCAATCCACAGATCCGATCCATCCTGTGGGGATCATCGGCGTGCAACCTGTACGGGGTGACACCGGACCCGCTCCATGAAAAGGTAAGTTGTAAAGAAAGCCGATAATTCCCGCAGGATGGATCCGATCCATCCTGCGGGGATAGTTGGCTTGCTTTACAGCTTACCTTTTTCATGGAGCGGGTCCGGTGTCACCCCGTGCGGTAGGTGTCACCAGGTGCGGCGCGCACCCACTGCACCTGCCTTGGGAAGCCACTGCAGCCACGATATCTAAGGACTGGTGAGCTGCAGTATATTAAAACTGCACTCCAGGGATGATATATTTTGCATACATACATTATTCCAGTTTGGCAAAGTATGCACATGTGGCACCTGATGAGCCTCTGTAGAACCTGTAAATCACAGTGGTAGCCTGAGCTACTACAGTGTTGGCCATGATCTTCCGGGTGCTCTGCCAAACAGCTGCCGTTCTACATAATAACCACAGTAGATCACTCATTTGCACGACTGCCATTCAGAGAACGCCTTGTATTTTTCTCAATGAATGCAAAGTGTTATCTGATGACAAGCTAAAGAGGCGGGTTGATGACATCACAATCTCCACCTCGTCCAATCAAAAAATGCTTTGCACTTTTTAAGAAAAATGCAAGGTGTTCTCTAAAATAGGGGCTGTACAAATTGAGTGACCTGCTGTGGTTGTTATGCAGAAGAGTAGTAGTCGCTCGGCACAGCACCCAGAAGATCACAGTCATCACTGTAGTAACTCAGGCTACCACAGTGATTTACAGGTTCTACAGAGGCTGATCAGGTGCCACATATGCATACTTTGCCAAGCTGGCATAATATATGTATGCAAAATATATCATCCTTGGAGTGCAATTTTAATATATTGCAGCTCACCAGTCCTTAAATATAGCGGCTGTATTAGTTTTCTTTTTTTTTTTTTTTTAGGCTTCTTTCTCTTTTTGCAACACATGTCCTGCCTGGGGTTGATAACACTCACTCAGTGTACTGTATCTATGGAGGAGCAGCATTGTCACCCTAGGACAGGAACGTGTGTTAGGATTACAAAATACCCTTCTCTATCTACCCATCTCCATAACATAGGAAGGAGGTGTTCCGTAGTCCTAATACAATGACTGATAACATTGTTTTAGATAAGACAGAGTACTCAGGATAGCACTGGATTTCTGGTAGGATCAATTGGTGTTTTTTTTTTCTTTTGCACATCTAAAACAGATATAACAAAACATTGTTAATTGTATATTTCATAGAGGTCAATCATACATCAGTAAATGCAAATTACATTGAGTTTAGCTGATTTATCTTTGAAAATTATACCATCCCTGGAGTTCAGTTTTAAATGTTTTTGCTTAGGTTTACTGTAGGTACACTTAAAAAGAAAATTCCAGACAAACACTTGTGAAAGCAATCGGTGAGTTATTTATGTTATCCAGGAACACTGCAGTTATGCTAAACTGTTTAATCAATTTACCTTAATCTGAGCTCTATATAATCTACTTCAACCAGAATCCAGAGAGCACCTCACAGGTTTCATTGGTAGTGTACTACCTGAAACCTCTGCTGTGTTACTTATTCTCTATCTTCTTGCTGTAACATCAATCATTTTTAAACTTCCAAGGTGTATATTGTTGTAAGGAACTTCTCTGTACTGACATTTCAATACCCCAGACACATACTGTATATTGTTATATTTATGAATACACACCTCTTTAGTAAGGTTGGCACTTTTTCAAGCCTATGATGGTCTGGTGGGAATTTTGCTGACTGTGTATCTCCTTCTGGTATAGGTTCTTCATTATCATGCTGCTCAGAGGCTTGAACCAGTGAAATGGGTTCTGATTTATGCAGGTTGTTCTCCACTGATTTTCTCATTTTGTTTTTTAGGGGGGTGAACCATGCCAATGCCTAGAGAAAAAAAAAGATATGAAAACAACTTATTTAATCTAGACAGGTGTTACCTGTTACAACCAAGGTTCTCATCCAATGATGTATTGTTATTATTATACAGGATTTATATAGCGCTCAGCGCTTTGCAATATAACGGGAGACAATACAGCAACAATACAGTTCAATACAAGAGGGTTAGGAGGGCCCTGCTCCTTGGAGCTTACAATCTAAGAGGGTAGGGAGACACTGCCAAAATCCCAGAAGTTATGCTATTTCCAGGACAGAGAGCACCTCTGCTATATAATCTATGGTGACATGCATTTCCCAAATCTGAGTGTCAGAAACGGCAGCAGTGTCTTTGCCACTTTCTGTGAGATTAAGGCTACATTCACACTGGCTGGTGCAAATTGTAGTGGTAAGAATCTTCTGATTGCTGCTGAAGTTCTCAGTGGCTAGGTGCAGTCATTGGCCCCATTCACTATAATGACAGGTCAGCGGGGGCTGCAGATATTTGTGTCTTTCCGCACAGCCAGTGATTACCTGTAGTGATCTCTGCTGAAAGTATACAAAGTGCATCCAGAAGCAATCACCGCAGGTAATCTCTGGGTGTGAGAATCGTCTGAGAGTCGCGAATAGCTGCAGCCATCGGTGACCTGACATTATAGTGAACGGGACTGGCAGAAGCGCCTAACCACTCAGAGCCACAGAAGGAATCAGAAGATTCCTGCCGCTACATTTCACACCAGTTTAAATCGCCAGTGTGAATGTAGCTGAACTGGAAGCACAAGCAACCTTTCTTGTGTAAACTACTAATCCCATCAATCCATGTGAAATGAGATGAACAAAAGCAGACATGTTTGAAGTCCAGTCGGTGTGACAACCATGGCTGTCTCCATAGATATAGTGGGGTGAGTGTAACCACCATAGGACAGGAAGTGTTTTATTTGCAGGATTACTGATAATAATAAAGGAAATAGGAAAAGGAAATAGCCTGAAAACAAAACTAGTGCAGCCACCACATCTGAGACTGGTAAAAGGCAATATATTACATTTATATTTTTGGATTTAGATAAACTTTAAATACATTGCTAAATGTATATATGTTAACAGTTTTACCTATTGAATGATAATTATATATATCATTTTGTCCAATCAGTTCTGTGATCCAGGCTCCTCTGCCAGAAAACACAGACTACCCTGTAGTTAAAGTGTTACTAAACCCAGGACCCTGCATTCACTATATCTGGTCTCCCACAGTACACACAACATGGAAATGCAATTATTTAGTAAATATACACTGCTTAATACCTTTTCTCATCAGTAGTTAGAGAAGTCTTCTGACTTCAGCAGAGCACTGGTTTAAGCTTGTAGCAGGAGTTTTCTTTCCTCTCTAGGAGGATGAGAAACCCCTGACCTCTGTCTGGACAGTGCTGCTTGGCCCTGTGCTGATAACACCTCTCTAGCAATACACACTAAACTGAGCATGTGCAGAATGGCTACGGTTCAGTTTGTCTTATCAGGAGATAAGACGTGGAAATTTGAACAAGAGGAGGAGCAGAGAAGTCAGGATCAAATGGCCTTTTTACACAATGCACAGCATTAACCTCTTAGGTTCCACAGTGACTATAACAATCATGCTTTACTGCATATACAGACTGATTTTACTGTTGTGGGTTTAGGAACATTTTAAAGCTGAAGTTTAATCTGTTTATATTTAGCCTCCTCCCCCCTTCCCTCATCAAAATTCAAATTCAATTATTAAACTTTCCAATGCATACCTTATTGTAGACCCAGCAATATCATTATGTTCATCACTAGGTCTCTGTGCTTCTCTACACAATGCAGGCAGATTATGCCTGGAGGGGACAACGGGGTACTGTACATAGCTTTATGAAAGCATTACAGCACCCTGTCTCAGTACTTCTCTAAATCACCCTCAGGCCTGATGCATGCAGTAGGCTGGCTCTTGGGAGGAGCTATGCAAATATCAAAATATCTTCAATGACCAATGGGGGACACCAGGGCTGCTCTTAGAAATCATGGGGCCCTATACTGCATATCTGACAGGCCCCACCAAAAAATATCAAATCCTTATCAGTAGACACAAGCACAACAAAATTACTGCTAACATTTCTGCTGTGTCTGAAGTTTGGGGCTCATTCACATGGCTGGAGCTTTGTGTAGTCAGCTTATGTTACTCTACTGTAGAGCAGCTGTATGAGCGCAGCCGCAGGTCCTAGTTCGACAGACGTGTGGGTGTATGTGTACACCCCTGAACACAGATAGTGTGCATTCATGGCCACTTACCCACACTTGCACACCTGTACAATGAGGACTTGTGGCTGTGTTCATACAGCCTCTGTGTCCTCCTAATGTTACAGGCGGCTCCAGCTGCATGAACAATTCATTCATTCACATAGCCAGAGTACCTGTGTGAATGTGTCCTTATGGCTAATTCATACGTAAGGTTGGGGGGAGGCTTTAAAAACCCTATGGTTAAGCTGTGCTTTTACTGCTTACCAACCCTTACCCCCTTTAGCAATAGAGGCAGTGGCTAGGGGTGTACACATGCCATTGCCATAATAAAACAATGGAATTGTTAGAACTTACCTGCCCATTTGGGGTACACAAGATGGTGGTACAGCGTGGTTCAGTGACAAACTTGCTATGTTCCTTCCACAAGAAATCTGTTGGAGGATTGTGAGCTACACCAGCTGATGAGGCCCAAACCTGCAGTGAAAAAAAGAATATTATAATATTGAATTTGTAGTGGAGGTTTCAAAGTGTGGGACACAAGCAGAAAAGAGACTTGGTAGATGTCACCAGCTTGATGGCAAAACAAAGTCCAACTAGGCTGCAAATGTGTGCTAAAATGTACCGTACAGCTGAGTTATGGCAGAATGTCCATAGTTCTAAGTTGGTAAACCCTAAATGAATGACATTTCCATCTGCATGGAACAACTGTCAGATGGTTATATGACTTTGGACTGTTCTAATTCAAAGTTTGCAGACTAACTATCCTAACGGTGTTTCAGCTTCAAAGCCCAAAGATGGAGCAAGAAAAGGTGGGAGTTGAACAGCAGACATTAGGTGAGTAGAGGGCATGAAAGTTCTCTACTGAGCCAAGGGAGTCAACTCATCTGCAACTAAAAAGTCTATTTCTTTGGTATATTTTCGAAGTAGCACAAACCAAGACTTGGTACCTGGTACTTATATGCATAAGGAGGAAATTGATTTTTTTTTAAATTCTCCCAAAATTAATGTCTGGATGGATTTTCTCTTTAAGCTTAAAATCTGAAAGTATGTATTTTTGGAAGGTGCTGTACTCACAGTGGCCACGCAGCGTGCCATCAATCTGGTTTTTGGTGGGAATCGATAGATTGAAATGGGGTGACCACGAATGTTCTGCTGGAGAAGACACCCGCCAATGTCTTCCTCTTTATCTTGTGACTGGTTGATGATTCTTACAAAACTTCCACTGGGATCGACATCAGAGATTTCCAGATTCCCAAGAGCACTAGGAGAGCCCAAACACATTATCTATGTAAGTCCCTTATGTTTAAAATAAGGTATGTAATGAAAACAGAAAGGTCTTAATGAAACATGTTATTAGTGTGTTAATGAGGGAAGGGAAGGCAAATTATAAACAGATCAGTTTTCAAATTTGCTGAAGCGATTCACTTTAATAATTTTGACAAATATTAAGCTTGCTGAATTTGAAATAATTTTCTTTTTCAATATAGATCTGCTTTAAATTAACAACTCTAGCAAAAACATTTTTTTTTTACTTTTCGAGTGGGGAAAGGTCAGACCCACTGCTTTTTATCTGCTGTCTCTGTGGAAATGGGGAGATTTATCCTCACTTCTTGGTGACTTAACAAGAAGAAAAAATATTAACAAAGGAGACATAGCAAAATAATCCCAACTGAGGTTCCAAGCCCCCCCTACTCCATCCAAAAATAAAAAAAAAAAAGTTATATTTGAACACACTTTGATGGTATCACCTCATTTCTCTATCACAGGCTTACTGAGGCTGTGCTGAGGAACACTGGGGTGCCATCTGGACTCTTCAGGAGTGCTGTGGCTGGGCTGCCCTGGTGCTTAGCAGCTTTTGTAAGCCAGAAGTGGTAGGTGGGACCAGGGGTGTGGTCACCTCCTTCCTTCCCGTAAGTGGTTGATAGTTTCCCCAGCAGGAATCCTGTCTGTCTGCTCACTAATTGCCCTGCCACTATATACTGCTCACTGGCTGCCCTGCCACTACATACTGCTCACTGCCCACCCTGCCACTACATACTGCTCACCGGCTGCCCTGCCACTACATACTGCTCACTGCCCGCCCTGCCACTACATACTGCCCACTGACCGCTCTGCCACTACAAACTGCTCACTGACTGCCCTAACACTCCATACTGTTCACTTACTGCCCTGCCATTGCTTACTGTTCACTGGCTGCCTTGCCACTACACACCGCTCACTGACTGCCCTAAAACTACATATTGCTCACTGACCATCCTGCCACTACATACTGTTCACTTACTGCCCTTCCACTACTTACTGTTCACTTACTGCCCTTCCACTACTTACTGATCACTGACTGCCCTGCCACTACATACTGCTCACTGACTGCCCTAACACTACATACTCTTCACTCACCGCCCTGCCACTTTAACTGTTGACTGGCCACCCTGCCATTACATACTGTTCACTGACTGCCCTTCACTACATACTGCTTACTAACTGCCCTGCCACTACATACTGCTTACCGACCGCCCTGCCACTACATAATGTTCACTAGCTGCCCTGCCACTACATACTGTTCACTGAACGCCCTACCACTACATACTGCTCAGTGACTGCCCTAACACTACATACTGTTCACTGACCGCCCTGCCACTACATACTGCTCACTGACTGCCCTAACACTACATACTGCTCACTGACTGCCCTAACACTACATACTGCTCACTGACTGCCCTGCCATTACATACTTGCTCACTGACTGACTGCCCTGCCACTACATATATCCCACTAACCCCCCTGCCAGTACATACTGCTAACTGACCATCCTTCCAAAAAGTACTGAGAAATGACCTCCGTATCAGTACATACTGCCCACTGATTTGAATATTGTACAGGTACAAGGCAACCTTGCGTTACATACTACAGACCACTGAACTCTGTCACAAACTAAATTTTAGGCCTTGTTCACAGGGGCGTATTTAAACGTTTGCCCATGCGAGGGCCTTGTTTGCCTGCACGAGGATGCACATCTGTTCCCTGCATCCGTGTGCAGGCAGTCCCATTAATGCCAATTGGGATGCAGCGGCTGCACAGACACAGCCGCTGCTCTCAATTTAACATCCATGTTGGTGCAGCTAGTGTCCCTGAACACAGACAGAGTAATTTCAGGAACATGCACCTGGACACATAGCAATTGGGAGCGGCAGTTGTGTCTGTGCAGCCGTTGCATCTCTATTGATCTGAATGAGAGTGCCTGCATGCAGAAGATGCATTGGACACCTGTGCTTTCCTGTGCATGCAAACAAGTCCCTTGCATGGGTTTACACTTAAGTACGCTCCTGTGAACAAGGCCTCGGACTGGTGTGCACAAGAAAATGTGACAGTTATTATTCACGGCATGCCCTGAATGTAACCGTTTTGGGAAATGGATAAATTCATGGGATTATTTCCACTTTAAAGTTATGAATACAGTGAGACCAGCACAGCAGCCAAAGGACGAGCATTTTCATAAAGTCAGCAATGGTAGCTCCTATAGGACATTCATGACATGTTCTTGAGGCTTGTTCGGTAAGGTAAGGAGCACTGGATAAGTGGAATAACACAAAGCAGCCAGTCAGAATTCCACTTTACATTACAGTGTACTGAATTCTGATTAAAAGCTTTGGAATACTCATTGTTGCATATTACTATTGAACTTTGCACAGTTTTTTGCAGTTTTCGAAGCAACTTATCCATGTAGTGATACCTAGTGAGTAAATAGTCATGTGTGTCGTTGTGGCTGACAGTGAGTGTAAAATGCTGTGTACAGCTCAGAGGAGACAGCCTGCAGCAATTTTCCTACGGAACATTGAAAACACCGTGCTGCAATTTCTAAACCCTTATTATTTATTAACGGTGGATTTTCTATTTTCTTCCCATGCAGTGATGCATGTCTACCCTGCAAAAAGCAAAAGTGTGTTTACCCCAGGGCTGCAGGAGAGAGGGCAGATTATTTCAACTGCTTGGCCATTGGTGCTGGGTTCAAGAGAGTCTCCTGATATTCAGTCGGCTTCTAGGCAGAAGCCCCGGACACAGGGTGCTACAGGGGAACACTGCTCGAAACAGGGAATAATCTATCTTTGTCTTTAAGAAGAATTCAAGTCCAATTGAAGAGCAGATCAGTTTTAAGGTGAAGATGTTAAATAAATCAGTTTAAATGAATACAGGTGTGTAACGCTTTTACCTTTTCACATCCCAGCTCCACCCGGTGCTCAGACTTACAAGCTGCCAAAGCTTCAGGTAACCTGAATCACAAGAGAGTTAGCACTTGGAAGGGCATCCAACAATGGCTTTTCATTATTGCAAAAACACATATAACAGCTGCAAAACAGGCAACACGTTTCGGCCGTCAGGCTTTAGTCATGATTATGGCCTGATGGCCAAAACACATTGGTTGTTTTACAGCTGTTATGCATGTTTTTGCAATAAAGGATAGCCATTGTTGGATGCCATTCCAAGTGCCAACTTTTAGTTTTAGATAAAAAAAAGGAGATTTTTTTTTCTTACTTCCTAACCTGGTAACAACGAGTTCAAAATCATAGGAAATCTTTCCACTGTGAACAGAGGAAGCAGCCAAAACAAGAACGTTAAAACCTCTGATTCTTTTTTAAATGGTGTGCTAGACATTAATAAAATTATGGCCTTAGGTCACCCTAAAAATTCATAAAAAGACCCTTACCAAGCATGCAGCCTGATAACCAGGAAAGAGGAGAGTAATGAGCCTGCCTTCCCCATCCCCCTCCAACCTTTCCCCCCAAACCATACAGGATCACATGCCTTCAACAATGGAAAACTAGCTTGCAACAGGGAACTACCAAGACTTCCCCCCTTGCAAGGCACCTTAGTCCCATTTAGATGGGGACAAGAACTTCATCCCCACACCCTGTCCCTTAAAAGGGATGTGGGGATTTGTGTTTGCAAGGGGTTATCAGAATCTGAAGGCCCCTGTTTAAACTAAGGGGGCCCCCAGATATCCAGACATTCCCCTACCCCTACCCCTTGTTACGCATTAACAAAAAAAGGAAATAGTAAATAAAAACATAGACACTGTAGAATAATGTTAATATGGGCCTCCACCAGCTTGCTTGCATTTTTAAACAGAAACTGGTGGGGATCTGTCATTTAGAGGCAGACATGATACTTCTCACAAATGACAGAGGCTTGGGCGGAGAATGGCAAACGATGGCTAGTTTGTTTGCCTGTTGAAGTCACGTCCAACCCAATGCCCATGCTTGACAGTATTAGAATCCTGATAGTTATACCACTTACCACAGTATATACCTAGGTAGATGGCCATTCCATAGGATCCTGGAGCAGTGGTATGTATTTATAGGCTGGCCAGGCTAGTAAAGGGGGGCATAGTTGAGTAATTACAGGTCCACTTGAAAGGAAATTACATATTTATCAGTATTTCAGCTAAGAACATTTTGGTTCCTTTGCCTCCTCTCCCACCATAGCCTGACTAATTATACTGTCTTAAAAATGTGAATATTGATTCATCTAACTTGCTCAAGATAACTGAGATACAGAATTACTATTCATCAGAATTTTCCATGTTGTTCATTGCCCAACTCTGCTCTTGTGTAACTCGGAAAAATCCAGCTGCTTGGAGGAACATCTCATTTGCAGAGCTGACAAACGCAGACTCCCTCACATGCTAATCGAGCATAGAATTCTATACATTATTAAGTGCTCGTCGCCAGCTTTGCTGTTTCCTGACAACGCCAAGCTCACACTTTAAAACGAATATGAAATTAGTGTCAGATAATATTGCTTATTTTGCTGTTTCTGGGAAAATACATTTCTGTATCAGCATTCAATCCAGAATGACAACCCCTAAACAACTCAGTGAATTTATTCATGTAGATTCCAAGAAATATTCAGAGAACCATTGATAAAAAGGAATCTTCTTAGAATGAATAAAATCTATATGTAATCTTCCACAACGTTCAAAGTAAATAAAACGATTACTATGAAATACAGTTTTTATCCTTTGTTACATCTCAGTGCTGATAGTCTCCTGCAGGCTCTTTGCTGCCACTTCCTGTCTACATGCACTTCAGCAACGGCTGCATGACATTTCTCAGGGCAGGTTTCCTGATGGCAACAATGGTGGGCCATGCTTATTTCTGTTAGGTGCCGGTAACTGTGCCGGGAGTGCGCTGGGCATGCACCCTCTGGGCACAGCTTTTTTTACCTTTTGGTATGCATATATGCTTGCTCTCGGAGCAAAGGAGTTAAACCAAAGCGCTCCTTCTTGTGATCACCTATATACCAGAGACCTTGGTTAGCTTCCATGCTTATCTTTAGTGAAATTTTATTTTTTAGTTTTGGCTTGAGTAGGAAAAGGTTAAAGCCACTGCCAAGTGCTACTGCTGTATGTGTCCCACTGAGGAGATTTCCTTTCATTTCCTGTCATCAAGGCACAGAAGGAGGTGAGCGGACATCTCTATAAACTGAGAAGAAATCTCCTGTAAAGCTAGCCATACAAGGTACTGAAAAATTGTCGGCCACACAATGCCTGCATCCAATCAGATGCATGCACTGTTTAGGTAAATTGGCAGCTGCTGGGTTAAAATCGCATAGATGCAGTGGGAAAGTCATCCATGTGTGCTATGTAGCATGGATGGAGGAATCTGTTAGAATGTTTATGTTTTTATATGTCTAGTAGCTTTGGATGATCACAAAATATTGGCCTCATTTGGTGTGACAGGTGCTCTTTATCGTCTTAAACTTTAATCTGTGCTTTGCTCAACTCACCTGGAGACAGCTGTTTTCCTGTCAATTATGGTCAGTGGTGGAGTTTTACTGATGCGTTTAGGGTTCACATTGTCCATCACTGAACCAAACGAGTCTTGTCTTTTTCCGAGGTCTGGCGTCTGAACATCCAAAAGAGGGGCAGATGCTGACCTTTTAAAATGATCTATTTGGTCTTGAATATCTTCCACTGGAATTGAGCAAATAGAAAAGACAAATTACATCTAAATTTATAACATTATTAAAAGATGAAATCCAAACCCCTTCCAGTGAATTCTCACATCGCCCTATAGCAAGTCTCCTGATGAACTAATGAGGAGAACCTATGCTTTTAGTCTTAAGGCTAAATGCCATACATATCTGTGGTTACCTCTTCTGGAGGCAATTCCAAGCACGTAGAGGTGAGTCTTCTACTGCCCATTATGCCTTGGAAGGCTGAAGACTATACAGAACCAGCCAGTAGCAGCAACTCTAATTCCATAATATGGACCTACTGACTTTGTGATGAACTCAGGCTGATTTAGTGTTGTGTGAAACTAAACTCATGATGAGTGACACAGTATATCGTAATCTTAGCACGAAACATATTTCAGAATCCAAGCAAAAGCATATTCAATTGTCAACAGACTATCAGTGTGCAAAGTATTTGGATGGGACAATGAGAGAAACTTGGAAAAGCTTGCAGCACCTCTCTGTTTACACCTCTTCCCCACTGCCTTTCCCCCATCCTCATCCCTGGTGTGCTATAAAGGTTAAAGCCCAACTGTGGGCAATTGAAAAATTATCCCTTGTAGTGGGCTCTGCCTGCAATTTGGTCAGAGGAATTATATAAGATTCTCTGTTCTCCCCGAAGGTACAGCTAGACCACTCCTGGCAGCTTTTTTCCCCCATGCTCCAGCAGTCTAGGGTCCTGACGTCATCAAAACCAAAGCAGGGTTCATAGCCCTCCACTGGACATGATGATGCCGAAGGACAGTCCACCACTGGAACGTGGGGGAGCACTATCTGTCGGGGGAGCAGAGGATCAAGTAAGTAAAACTATGTCTCTTCTCCCCTAGACAAAACAAGCTATTAACTCTTGCAGTCACGGCACAAGACCACTGCATGGGATATTTTTTTTTAGTTTCCCAGAGTTGAGCTTTATTTGCTTGTTTAGTCTAGAGGGAAAAAGATTAAATCCTTACCTTAGTTCAACAGGCTCATTGCAACCCTTGCGACAGGTCCTGCACACCTGCTCTGTAAGGTGGATTTTGGTCACACTCTAATATACTCAGTGTACCATACAGAGTTTATATCCCTGTATTGTGCATGATGACACTGAGACTGCACCCACAAACCGGGGAAGAAGAACGCTGCATCCGGCCAAAGTTACAAATCAAGTGGTAGAGCTTCTTGTGAAACCCCCTAGACAGCCTTTTTTTTCAACCTTTGTACCACAGAGAAACCCTTGAAAAAATTTCCAGGTCTCAGGGCTCCCCTGGTAAGATTAGTCTAACAGGGGTCATTGGGAAAATGCCTCTAACATTGGTGGTGGTAAGTGGGAAGCATGTCCCCCTTATATTTGTGACCAGAATGACTCTCTTGCAGTAATGCCAAGTGGCCTTGGACCTGTAACTATGCAGACTCATGGAACCCCTAGCTAACCTTGGAGGAACTCTGGTTGAGAATGGCTGCCCTAACCATAAAAAGCATTTAAATCTTGCGGTGCAAGGGGGGCCCTACTGCAAGGGTGGATTTTTTTCATTCTAATTTTTAGCAGGGGTTCCCTGAGGCCAGAAAGTTACTTAAAGGGCTCCTCTGTGAAAATGAAAATGTCCAGAAAGATTGGTCTAATGTTTTCAGACCCTACCTGGAAGATTTGCATTGAGATAACTGCACCCAAATACTTATTAATTTAAAACTTTATAAACATGGCTTTAATTTAAATTTTGAATTTTATTTGCAATACAATGCTAACTGAAAAAAAATTACAAATAATTTAGGTATCTTATATTTACCAATGTTTTCTCCTTTATGGGAACTTTCCTCTCTAGCAGTAGGCAGCTCGGTGGAGTTAGATGTAGTTATCGGTGGAAGGACTTCAGTCATCTTGTAGTACTCAGGAATAACATTGTGTACAGATGATGGGAAGGAATCAGTCAGTGGATTGGAGGATGAAGGGGTCTGTGGTAAGTGCCAGTTACTGACACTCATCCTAGAAAAAAAATAGAAAAATACTTTTTTCTTATTGTAATAAAACATGGAAATTTGGAGACTATTCCTTAGAGGGAGCTCTCAGTGTTTCAGTTCAACTATTCTGCTTCTCGCCTAACAACTGTTGAGATAAACTATCAGCCATGCAGGAAATGCATTGTTTTCAAAAGGTTGGCTCACTTTATAGTAACCATCTTAAAATTTTTTTATTTGATACCCAAACATATTCATACATTTTATTGCAATATACAGTAAATAAAAACCATTATTTTATAAACCAGATTCATTCTCAGTCAGATTTCTTTGTGACTGTGATTATGATTCGTTAACTTTGTTAATCATATATGTTTATCCTACTTTGATTTCTCTGACAACAGATTCTTATTGAGGTTTTTAATGGGTAAAGAAAATCTCATACAATCTCACAATACTCATAATATATGAGTAAGACCGATATGACTGTGGGTTTATCCTACTTTGATTTCTTATTTGTAGCCTTGAAGGAGTCTTAAAGTCCCCCAAAAAGAGTTTGTTTCTAATTTTTTATTAAATTATAAAAAAAATTTGGAGTGTCTTATTAGATGCTTTTTGGTATTCTTATACATCAACATACATATGCAAATTATGAGGGATTTCCATTTAGAGTTGCCTACTTTCAAACACCATAAAAGGAGATTCCAATTACACACTGGTCAAATACAGCAAATGCAGTATTTGTATATTTATATATAAAAAAATATACATATAAATATACGGGACAGCACAGTGGTTAAGTGGTTAGCACCCCTGCCTGCCAGCTCTAGGGTTGTGTGGAGTGACAAATCAAGCTTTTCTGTCTGGCAATCCGACGGACGTGTCTGGGTTTGGCGGTTGCCAGGAGAATGGTACTTGCGTTACTGCATAGTTCCAAGTGTGAAGTTTGGTGGAGGGGGGATTATGGTGTGGGGTTGTTTTTCAGGGGTTGGGCTTGGCCCCTTAGTTCCAGTGAAAGGAACTCTTAAGGCATCAGAAAACCAAGACATTTTGGACAATTTCCGGCTCCCAACTTTGTGGGAAGAGTTTGGGGATGGCCCTTTCCTGTTCCAACATGACTGCGCACCAGTGCGCAAAGCAAGGTCCATTATGACATCGATGAGTGAGTTTGAGATGGACTGGCCTGCACAGAGTCGTGACATCAACCCAATAGAAGACCTTTGACATGAATTGAGACCTTCTCGTCTAACATCAATGCCTGATCTCACAAATACTCTTCTGGAAGAATGGTCAAACATTCCCATAGACACACTCCTAAACCTTGAGGACAGCCTTCCCAGAAGAGTTGAAGCTGTCATAGCTACAAAGGGTGGGCCAACTCAATATTGAACCCTACAGATTAAGACTGGGATGCCATTAAAGTTCATGTGCGTGGAAAGGCAGGCACCCCAATACTTTTTGCAATATAGTGTAAATGCAGCACCCTGCTGCTAGATTTTCTTTTGCCAAGGCAAATTTAGTTTTTGGCTCTGCTGTAATCATCAGAGCAGAACAGATTGCTTTGGTCTGCTCTGGGTTCTGCAGGCTGCAGGTCTGACTGTTTCCTCCTGTTTTCTGGACCAGTTGGTGATCAGGGAGTATATAAATAGCCTGGAACCCAGAGCCCTGTGTTCTTGTTCAGAAGGAGAAGTTCTCAGCCATGGAGGGGTGCCTGCTTTCCTGACTGTCCTGATTAAGGTCCAGCCTGCTCATCAGGATCCTAGCCTTGCTGAGAGGGCCTGCTCAGCTACAAACCCTTTCAGGGGCTAAAGAGGGGAGCCACTGAAGACCTGCCTTGGGAGTTCACAGAGGAATCCTGTCTGCTACAATCAGAGTAACATTCCAAGCTGTGAATACTGACCCAATGGGGGAAGAATTTCAGTGACTGTTTGCTTTTACTACCCATGCTAATTTAAGTACAGTGCAAGGCATGCCTGGCCTGGATCATTGCTATTGGTGCCCCAGTGCTGTCCACTTAATGCCCCATTACTTAAAGGGAAAGTTCCACCTATTTGAAAACAGCGCAGCCATGAGGAGTTCCGCCCACATGGCCATGTCATTCATTCATTCAGAATTTCCTGGGAATGAATGCCTACAAGTACTGTTAGCCGTTGCAGCTGATGGCTTGTAGTTCTCAATGACCTACGAGGGCACTGGTGAGCGCTCTCATAGTCCATTGAGCTTCCTGGGAAAGGTATGGGAAAGACAGCTATGCTGAGAGACTGCAGGAGCTTCAGATTACACAGATCACGTGTGAAATGCTCTGCAGGTTTCTTAGAAAAAAAATAATAAATGCACATTTTTTTACCTGCAAAAAATGTGCATTTATTTATTTATTTTTTAAAGGTGAACTTATCCTTTAAGAGACTGTTCAGTAGAGCTCCTACAAGCAAGAGTGTCCTCATTGTTCTTGTTAGTAATGTGTAGTATCCTGCAGCTCCCTGAACCCTATCCAAGATATTTATATAATAAAAATATCCAGCACAAAATTAGGGTCCATGTGTACCATGACTGAGAAATTTATTTCTGGACACTAAGTGTGCACTGGATATTTATATTATATAGACTGTATCTACCCAAGGGGTAGTCTTCTATCTAGCAGCAGCCTAAAAGAATACTGAATACCTCAGGCGCTGGTTTACTACCTGATACTTTCCAAGATGTTACTGTAATAAACTTTAAAAAAGGCAACCCTTATGGACTGTGATTTCTGGAATCGGAGTGTTTGCCTGGCACCTGAACTAGCGGAAACAGAACCTGGGACTTTTAATCAGTTGTCCTATCAAAGGGTAGTCTTATATATATTATTTTTTTAATTTGCCAGTGTATTCAGCTTTGTATTTGGGTATTTATTAAGTATGTTCAAGACAAAAAAGGGTTTTATTTTAGGAAAACAACAATTAAATATTTCAGATCATTTTGTTATGTTTAAGAACTTGTTTTCAAATAACAACCTTGAGGCATAGAACCATTTTTTCAGTCTGATGGTGGATTTACTATTATGTTGTGAATAACCTGAACAGGGGCAGACTGACAACTCAGTACTCAGGGCAATAGGGGCAACTCAGGGCAATAGGACAACTCAGGGCAATAGGGGATCATGTGGCCCCTGTGTCCTCGCCCACACCCAAAAAAGCCTATGAAAAAGCCAATGAAAGGTACCAGGGGCATCTCATGGGGCCCCCTACTGACCCCGGGCCCTCGGGCAGTGCCCGAGTGCTTGAATGGTCAGTCCCCCCCTGAACCTGAATAGCCTTTGTGATGAAGAGAATGGAATAGAAGAGATCAGATGACAAACACACAGCTGGGAAGAAGAATGCACTCCTCTCTATCTTCTAAGGAAAATGTGACCCATGTGGACTATCAGTTGGACAGAAGCAGGCAACATGCGCACACTCTGTGACGAGGTAGAGGTAGATATGGAGAGATACAGCATTGCTGGTTTGAGCTATAAGCTGCATTTATCCTGTGATCTTGGTTATCAAGCTTTACTTACTGGTGTTCCTCTTCCTCCAACATAGCCTTCAGAGCGTCCAGTTCACTCCGCAGGGATACGTTGCTTTCCTGAAAGGTGTTCAGATCCTTCATCTTGGCTAGGAGGAGATCCTGCAGCTCCTGATGAGACAAAAACGCCATAGTTTGTGTTTCTCGGACACCATGAGAAACTATGGGGCTGGTTTGTGCAAATGAAAGTCAGGGCTGCCAACAGTAGAAGGGCATCAGTGCAATTCATAATTAGGCTAGTCATATACGTACCAATTGTAAGATGATTTAAAAAAAAACAAAAAACATTTTTTGTGATTGTGTCAGTGACTTCACTTAAGGCCCTATTCACACTTTGCATAAATGTGTGTTCCCACTCGCAGGTTTTTTTTTTGCTCAATTTCATGTGTTCTGTGAGACGCACATAGGGCAGCCAATTCGCTTGTCAAATGTGCGAAAAAAGCTTCAGAACCTTTTCAGTTGTAGAGCGTCATGTTTTTTTCAGAGCGCATTTTGCCGCTATTTTTACTATTGTTTCAAATAATGACACCCCAAACGTGGTGTGGCTTTAAGAAAATATTGCACCGCAAGCGCTTTGTGCTTTTTGCCGCTTTTCTGAAAACTTGGGCAGAAATGTGACATTCTGCCCACATTTTCAAAGAGGCCAAGTGCGAATGGGTCCTTACGGTTCAGCATTTAATCAATGCAGCCTGGTCACTGACCTGGTCCATATAATGTCTCTCTCTCTCTCTTTCTCTCGATATATATATATATATAGTACATGTAAAGCCCCAGATACAGTTATTAGTAACATATGTGATCTTTGCAGGAATGAATAACACATTTTCACTGTTGCTCCTTTAGGACTTTGCTGGTTATGCCGCCTTCCCCTTCTTCTTGCTGATTGTAATGATGGGCATTCAAGGACTCCGCTTCGAGGCCTCTAATTAAATCTCAGACAATTTCTTTTCAAGTCCAGTGTGTGGAGGACGCATCATGTGACTCTGGACATGAACTGGATCTCCTCCAACATGGGCTATTTTCACTCAAGACAATTAGGCCCCTCTTGGTGAATTCTCCATGACTAGGGGCCCTCTTAGAGGAGAAATAAGTGGGGTGATTTAGTAGCAGGAAACCACAACTAGCATACAATTAAGGTTTGCCACAACGCAGTCTCTCTTTTTTTCAGTGCTGCCCAAAAAAATTGGCAGAAGACTAAATAACCTGCATCCAAAACAGCAACAAAGAAGGGGTCATTTGTGGATATATACAGTATGTACAGAGTTGTAATTATGCTGAAACAAGCCTATTTCCTAATGAATTTGAAAGCTATACATAGACATAAAGGTTATTATTATTATTATATAGGATTTATATGGCGCCAACAGTTTGCGCAGCGCTTTACAAAATGAAGGTAGACATTACAGTTACAATACAATTTGGTACAAGAGGAAACAGAGGCCCTGCTCATTAGAGCTTACAATCTAGGAGATTTAAACATTAACATTCACTGATGAGCTTATTTATTTTAAAGCCCAATTGACCTTTTAGTTCAAATCAGCTAAATACATTCCAGGTGTTTCAAACAAAAAAGTGTGCAAAGTCTTATAGTCCATGTTTTTTAGAAAGCAGACACAGCCTGATTAGAAAAGCCTGTCCCCCGCCAGTATGCTTGTCACATACCTGATTGGAGACTGAAATAACGAGGTCGGCCTCACTTGTGTCACTAGCCCTGACCCCACTGGAAGTGGAACAGAGGGTGTCTAAGGACCAAGGGGACAAGAGGCCAGCAGATGTTGTTTGCAGCTCTTGCAGTTGGAGACTTTGGAAGACTAATGAACCTCCGATTCAGGCACAGTAGTAATATGCAGAGCTGGTATGGTAGATCGCCAGGTGTGCACCAGAGCAAAGCAGGAAGCAGGGATAGAAGACAGGAGCAATGTCATAGGAATAGTCAGGGTCATCAACGGGCGGACAGTGAGGTACCAAATTATAAGCAAGCCGAAGTCAGGAGCAGAGCCGAAGTCAGGAAACAGTATCAAGCAGGAGAGGAATCACAGTCAGGTCAGGAACAAGCCGGGTCAGCAACAAGGAAATCACAGGAATCTGCTGATTGGAGACCTCTAGCTCATGTGTCAAACCTCTGCAGAGAGACCATTGCTTCCACACAGAGAGCCATGGTCTTTACAAGATGCTGGCAGGGGACAGGCTTTTCTTCTCGCGATGTGACTGATTTTAAAAGAAAACAAACTGTTTGTTTTCATGCATCTGGAATGTATCAAAACTGTTCAATTGTGCTTAATCACATTTCACACGTTTGCATTGCAGTGGCATGCTTGTTAATCCATGTCATGTGTGTGCTTTGCAGTACCATTTATTTTGGTTGGCACACCAATGCGCTACACAACGCAACACATGTGTCACAGAGCATGATAAGGCACTATTGTCTGTGTTCTGCTGTATTGGAAAAAAAGGCCTTTTTTTTTTTTTTTTTTTTGTCCCTTCTGGTGTGTTGGCAGCTGCTTTAACACAATGTGTAACATGTGTGTGTGTGTTACCACAAGGCATTGGAATGGACAGCTCTGAATTGACCCTTAATCTTTTTTATGAGTTTTAAAAAAGGACTACAGTTCCCCTTAAGACCCTCTTCACATCTAAACGTATTGGAATTGCAGGCAGAATCATGCCAAATTGTGCAGCACACTTGCGTGCCAAAATTTTGCCATCCCAAAGGCGTGTGTGATTTTGCTGCAATTGTCATGCCACAAAACATGTTAAAATCTATGCCAAATCCACCTGGCTCAGTACCAAAATTAGATACATGAACTTCTTTGGTGTGACAAATGCACATAGGGCAAGTGAATAAACTGCTCTATGCGCTACACATGGAAAATGCAAAAAAAAAACGCAAGCGGGAACACTCCATAATATCCTTATAGCCCTGCATACCCTGGTTTTGTACAGTGTTGCAGAAGGTATCCGTTTAATATACTATAATATAATCAAATAATAATAACTATGTACATATGATAATCGAACAGAACACTGCATTGTGTTTTTGCCGCACTGAAATTGCAGAGAGATAAAATAAAACAACATGAGATGTGTACAAGGCAGCCGAGACTCTCTCTGGTCTGCAGTATCAAACTGCACTGCGGTACAGCTCTGCTTTTCCCCAGATTAACTAGGACAGTCGCTGTAGAATTCCACAATAAGAAAGTGTTTCTAATCTCAAAAACAAAAAAGTAATATTTTACAGCACTCCAGTCTGTAGATGGTGGCTGCATTCGTTTTGTTTTATCAGGTGTTTGTATCTTAATTTTCACCTGGTGATCCTGCCAGTAACACACTTCCTGTCCTAGGGTGACAAGCTCACTCCCTGTATTGCATTTACTGAGGAGCTCACTGCCCATGGCAAGCCTAGGAGGATGTAAACATTCTGATTGACAAGTATCAGGTAAATTTTGAATTTGGCACGAATGAGCAAAGTAACTATCTTTGCAGTAAGGAAACCTTATACAAAATGGATATCACCAGGATTAGGAATGTTGTCATGTTTCACATGACTGTCATATGCCTTTAAGTGTTCTTTGTATTTTGTCTGTGCTCCTCCCTTTCCTCTCCTTTAGTTCATGCTGTATAGATAGCCCCACCCTTTTGTTCATTTTCCCAGTAAGGCATTTCAGCTTCAAGCCTCATGTCATGAAGCAGATCACATTATGATCTTTTAACCTATCAGATGTCCATTGTTGTAAGATTGTCTCAGTTTATGGAATAAACTTCACAAGATCTACAAGGTGTCATCTGATCGAGTCACTGCCTGTGTTATTCAACTAAGATTGGAGTTATCAATATCTCATCACAACTGTAAGTTACAGAGATCACACTTTCAATGCTTAGATTGGAGAGACAGAACAAATGTGTTAAAACATGCAAAAACACTTAATGCTAGAATAATATTGAGATTTTACTTTAACCTGAAATTTTACCAAAAATCATGTGATTTTAACCAAATTTCATCATTTTGGTGAAATGCACATGGAATATAAAGGAAGATAAATGTGAGGTCGTTTTTAAGGGTGAATGGGCTTTAAAATGGCTCATGAAAGCTCCTGTAAATTATTCTGGACCTGTTCAGAACCAAAAAAACAGGCCATCAATAGACTAATTATTCTACCTTTTTCACAAAAAAAGGATAAAATAAAAATTGTATAGAGACAGTACCAAATACACACAAAATAAGGAAGCATCATAAACACAAAGAAAACTATATGTAAAAAAAACTAAACTCTCCTAAACACATCCCAAATAAAACACATTCTATAAATAGAAACAAAGTAGATTTTTTTTTCTTTTCAAGATAATGTCACTTCGGTTGCAAAATTGGCCATTGTGTTGCAAAATAAATTTTTGCTGAAATCACTTTGCTCATTCATAATAAGTACACTCATTTTAAGATGTTGCCATTCATGGGCTGATGTCACGCCTACAATCCTGTTGCTGACAAAACGTCACCAGAAACAGGATCACCGATGATCCTGATGCAGAGATGTGCAGGGAGAAAACATAGCACCTTGTGTGTATCGCTCATGTATAGCACCCCATAAGTCCAACCGAAGAGGGAATGACACATTCAAGCAATTGAGTATTTTCACTGGCCTGCTGTGTAGCGATCCTGCCGCTGTAGAAATTTTGCCAGCAGCAGGATGGCAAGTGTGATATAGCCCTTACAGACCTGAAAATATAATATATAGTATACATAATACTGCAGAAAAAGTACAGAACTCCGGAGAAAGCAAATATTGTGATTTATGTATTTCTTCCAGTAATCCTGTGTGAAACTTTGCCTTTGTGTAAGAGCTTCCTGTAATAAAGACTGGTCACTCCTGCTCTCTTTCTTTGTGCAGGATGACTGGTCTTGTCTCCCACCCCCTCCTGTAGTTTTCTGCATGCAGCATGTAATGTGTGGGGCCTGCTAGGTCCCTCCCACAGCTTTGCTCTCTGCATAGACTATGTACACTACATTGATGATGTCACTAATATTTTCCAAGGTAATATCAGGGTTTGCAAAGGCATTTGGTGAATACAAAGTATATTTACACATTTACATACAATTTTATGCCTGGAACCTAACTTTAACACAAATGGATAATCAACAGGGTTTTTTTGGAGGAGGGGAGGGGGAGATGTAGAAAAAGAAAGGGTTTATGCCTTAGCCAGCTTATTGTTTGATGTTTCTATACCATTGGGGTAATTTTAATTCAGGGGGGCATTAGAGAAAACAGGTGTCTCATTGGAAGATTTCTCCTCACCTCTTGTTCTTTGAACAATTCTAAAATCCTGGAGTTCATTGCACTCGTTTTTTAGATTACAATAGTCGCCAATACACATCTTCCCAATGGACACACACAAAGCAATAAAAAAACTTGGCAGAGGTTCTAAACCGTCTCCACTGTATCCAAAACAAATGAAAAAGTTTTGCCTATACTTCAAAGCTAAACTTCTGGCACAAAAAATATATTAAAATATATCCCTCGACAGCCACAAAGAATATAAACCCACTTTGTGTTCACCAAATGCCTTTGCAAAACCAGATATTTTCTTATAACAGTAACAGCGACACCATCGCTCTGCTGTACAGGAGGGGCAAAGAAAAGACCAGTCACCCTGTACAAGGAGAGAGAGCAGCACTGACCGGTCTTTATTACAGGAAGCTCCTGCACAGAGGTAAAGTTTCTCAATGGATTACTGCACAGATCTGGAAGAAATATACAAATCACACCAGGATTCAAGTAAAATTACACGTACCTCTTGTATTTTGACAATATTTTTCTTATCCTGGAAGTCAGCTATAATGCTCAGTAATGTGACCGAGCTACAGAAATCTATAAAAATGAGCTGTATAGCTCTTTTTTTTTGGAAGTGGAAAAAAAACCGCTGTAAACTGCACGTGTGAATGGGAACCATAACGCTTATTAAAAAAGACATCTTTTATTTCTAAGTTTCCGTTCCTAAATACAGAACAATTAACAGTTTTGTTACATCAGTATCAAGAGCCAGCGAGGGAGACTGGCTGTCTATGTCCTTTAATATCTCATAATAGAGACAGGAAGCTCTGTGAACTCTTGACGATCACCCTGAATGGGTCTCATTGTTGGGCAGAACACGCTCCGCTCTCGGGAACGACAATTGGGCATATTATTTAATGTAATGGCAAATGAAATGACAAACTCCATCTGGAGCTGAAATGTTCCTTGTTGTGGGAGGGAGGGGGGCTGGTGTAATTATTTGGAATTGAAAGACACACTGACCTCCAGCCTGCCCTCCAGGGCCCGAATGTGCTGCAGACCCTTCACATGCTCTGCTTCCAGCTTCTCAATCAAAGTTCGGCTGTTGGTCTCCTCTTCGAAGAGCTGTATGGCAAGATGGTTTGGACATGTGAATTATGAGCACACAAAATGCAGCAAAAGCAAACAAAAAACACATTTTTATTTGCAATACACATGACTACCAACAATTGTACCTATGTTATGGATAGGCAAATGGTATGGAGATCTGTCCCTTCAAATGGCCCTAATTTCAAATACTGATCAAGTGCAACAAAATCCTTGTGTAATTCCCTTTAAAATATCTGTAAACCCAATCATCAAAACCTCACCAATGTCATTTTAAAAGACATTTCCAATGTTATACTAATAAAATAATAACTGCTGATCCTGCCATAAAGGCCTTCAGGCACTTCCTGTTATAGGGTGGCAACGCTCTGTCCAAGTCTCCCAATTGTGCTCCTGAGTTGTCACCGTCACATGGGCTTCCGATGGAAACTACAAGTGGTTGTTTCAACCAGGGCTCCCTTAATGGGCACACCTGGGCACCACCCAGGGGACCCAGGTGCTTGGAAAAAGAGCCAGGAAAAAGAGGAGGAATGATGTGTTGAGGGGTGCACTGATGATTTGACTGCTGCTGTCACTCCTCTTTGACGGGAGTAACTGCAATGTCAAAGTTAACTGCAACTGCAAAGGAGCAGCAGCTGGCTTCTGCTGGGGAGAAGATTGAGCTTTCTTCTCCCTCCTGCAGGGGGCAGAAGAAAGCACTGAGGCTGAAAACTCATCTCAGTCTCAGCATGGGAGAGAAACAGAAGTTGCCTTCAATGCAGGTGGGAACAGCATTTGTGATCTGTGAGTACAAGGAGGAAGGGGGGGGGCACAATTCTAATATATGGGGCACTGTGATAGGGGAACCTGATGTATGGGGACGCTGTGATGGGGGAACCTGACGTTTGGGGACACCGTGATGGGGGAACCTGACGTATGGGGGCACCTGATGTATGGAGGACACCTGATGTATGGGAATACTGTGATGGGGACACCCAATGTATGGGAACACTGTGATGGGGACACCTGATGTATACAAGCACTGGGATGGGTGAACCTGATATATGGGGACACTGAAGGGGTCACCTGATGTATGGAGGACACCTGATGTATGGGAATACTGTGATGGGAACACCCAATATATGGGAACACTGTGATGGGGACACCTGATATATACAGGCACTGGGATGGGTGAACCTGATGTATGGGGACACTGATGGGGTCACCTGATATAAGAGGATACTGTGATGGGGATACCTGATGTACAGTATATGGGCACTGTGATGAGGACACCTCAAGTGGGCTGGTAGGGACCCCAATGCATTATTTGCCCAAGGGCCCATGATGCTATTAAGATGGCACTGGTTTCAACACATATTACACAGGCATGGTGCACTGTCGCCACCATTAGGTAACCTACCCAAAGAATGGCCATGCTGCTATCATTGGAATGCATGAAGGCTGGAAGTGGCAGAAAAGCGCCTAAAGGAGACCAGCAGCAGTGAGATGCGATAATAGATGAAAAAAAGGTGAAAACAAAGATTTAATTTAAAACATATCAACTGCTGATGATATGTTTAGCAATCTAAACTCTCATCAGGAATGGGACCAACTATCAGTTTCTAGAAGATGTCTTTGTAACCTGGTCCTGCTGGGCCTTCTTAGTGGATAGGCCAGGGTGTTTTGCAAAATAATTGTCATTGGTGCATTTTGTATTTACGGTTACTTGTACAATGAATAATATTGTATAATACTATTTATAGCATATATAACTTGTAAACATTATTCAAAAATCAAATAAAACTGACACAAATCCATTATGCTTTTAACTTTTGTACAAAGGAGTCTTCAAAACAAAAAAGAATAATCATGAATTGAATCTATCAGAAGCGGCTTGTTTAAAGATTGCCACAGTCTTATAAGCGCTTGACTTAAAATAGAACTCCAGGCGAATATAAAAACACTTTATTCCAGTTCTGTATTTAGATAAGGGTTGGTGTCAATACAGCAGGCAGCCACGCACATTCTCTTGGTTTAGGGGCATCATGCTGGTCTACTGCTCTGCCTTGGTATCTCTGGGGACAGCAAGTACACCTATTTATATTTTTTTAAATGTAAGCATTTTTTTTTTATTTACAAGAGACCCAAACTTGGCAATCATATTCAACCTGATGAACAAAGTGCCAAACCCTTCTGAACGCTATAAATGGAGAATCTTTTCATTTTTTTCCAGCCTTTTCAAGGCTAATTTGCAAAGTTTTGTTAAAACATGGGAATGCTCAACTGAGCACTACAATGGGGAATATGTAACCAATAGAAAAATCTTTAAAATACTATTCAGTGCAGAGAGGCTCTTTTACCGTAACCTATAGGATAACACTAAAAATACACAAATCCTTTAAATGGCATGCTCATGGAACACTTTTAAAGTGGTTGTAAACCAACACATACTGTATACGCACTGAAGTGACTAGACTCAGGTGATACACCAAGATTAAATAAATCTTCCTCCATAAGTTGTACCTGTTTATTAGCAGCCATTTGTCCTGTACATCCTTGTAAAACTTAGAGATGAAGATTATGCTGTTACACAGTTAATTATGTTAATGTACATGAGAATTTATATAGTTTTATTTTTTGTACCATTTCCTATGGATATTTCTATAGTTAGTTATATGCTGCCATCCAGTGGCCTTATTTGGTAATGCACTTGTTTTTCATGTTGCCTCCCTAAGATCTATGACACAGTTCCTTTGTATATGAAGCTCCTCCCTTCTTCTTGAGTACAGCACTTCCTGTGTCATGGAGGCAGCTAACAGTCCACATGTAACAGGGACACATGTATTCTGCATAGTACGCTACAGAAAGTATCATCTTTTGACTGCATAATACTGGAAACCATTCATTCTGCTGTATCCTGTTGTCACATGTACAGAATAAAGCAACTTCTGGATGAACACAGTATTGGTGAGTTCAAGCTATCTGATAAGGATTGCCCACAGTGATTATATCTGCTTATACAGGCTAGGCAGAGAGGTCTCACAAGGGATAAATTGCTATCACAACAGTCTGAGTCAGAATAAAGATACGTTTTCACAGACTCACTAAGCAGTGGGTGGGAAGCTGCAGTTACACACTGTACAAGAGTTCTGAGAGCTGATTGGATAGGAAATGACACCCCCCCCCCTTCACACAGCACACAGGAACAGAGTTGAGGTTGTCAATCATAAGCTGTGTGCTGGAGCTCCCACCCCTGTCACCTTTTCAGCTCTTGGTGCCAGGAATACTTGTCTGAAGTGACTTGGGCTGATAACAAAGGAACTGGACAGGAGAGAAATTACATTTAAGCCAGCCATACACGGTTTGAATCTCGGCCGGCTCAGCAGGAACTGGACAAGATTTGAACCATCTATGGGCAGGCTGATTGTACCCAATTCAGTTGTACGACTTGAGAACAACCAACCTGTCAGATTTTTCATGCGATTATTGCCAGCAGCTATAACGCTAGCATTATTCACTGTGTTCTCACAGTAGGGATGTTCCTCCGTGCGACACCCCCCCTCCCCCCCCCGCTCGGAAAAACACATTAGCTCTGTGGAAGGGATTCACCCGTCAACACTGACTGGATGAACTGTGGGTATAGGATTATAACTTTTTTTTTTAAAGGTTGAACTGGAAGGACGTTTGTCTTTTTTCAGCCAGACTAACTATGTAACTATGTAATTACTGTATGTGTTAATGGGGGAATCAAGCATTTTGCTTTTCTGGCTTCAGTGCTCTGGAGTAAGGCAAGTAAACACCATAGAGATATATGCTTTGTTCATATTTCATGTCTGAGGTTTACAACCACTTTAAGGGTCCATGTACACTGGGCTTTAAAAAAAATGCCAGTTTTTCTGGCAGAAAAATACACTCATATAGATCATTTTTTACAGGCGTTTAGGAATCTTTTTTTTCTGCCAGAAAACTCCTCTCAAAAATGCAAATCAGAAGGTTTTTTCATACTTCTAAATGCTGAGCTTAAAAAGGCCTCTAAACATCCTAATGTGCATGAACACACAGGATAATCTTGAGCCGCTTCTTACAGGCAAAACGCAAAACTCTTGTAAAAGCAGCATTTTTTAAGCCCAGTGTGCATGGACCCTAAAGCTGCACATTATGTTAGGGAACAGTACAAGTGAAACCTTTAAAAGTGACAAAGAACAAAAAATCATGAAAAGACATCCAGGGAAATAAAAATTACATCATTGACCACATATGGTCATGACCATATGTGGTCAATAATATTACCCAGGGACTTGGGGAAACTGGAAGCCCTTTTATTCTAGATTGTAAGCTCGAAAGAGCAGGGCCCTCAAACCCCTCGTGTATTGTATTGTTACTGTCTTGTCTCATGTTCTGTCCCCCTTGCTATTGTACAGCGCTGAGCATACCTTTGGCGCTATATAAATACTGTATAATAATAATAGTAATAATATGTCCATCAGTTCCACCTAAAGCTCATCCCTATTTAAAGTTGTGGGAAACTCTTCCATATAACCAGTGAAGTGACTGGTCTCAGGTGCTACTCAGAATTAAATCCTCCTACATAAGTTGTACCTGTCTACTTACATCCGTCTGTCCCCTACATCCATTCAAAGTGCAGAATTTATACAGGATCTCTCAGCTCTGAAAAGCAGGGGGCAGGGAGCTGAAATAAGATCAGTGAAGAGAGCTCTGAGAGCTCATTGGAGGGAAGGAACACCGCCCCCCCCCCCCCTTCACACAGCATACTGGAACAGAGCTGAGGCTGTCAATCAGCTGGTGGTCTTTCCCCTGTCACCATTTTTCTCTTGGTGTCAGGAAATCTCATTAGACATGACACATGCTGATAGCAGACGAATGAGACAGCAGAAAAAATGGCACTTAGTGCTCTGGATTGAGCCGAGTACACACTATAGAGAGATATGCTTTGTTCATATTTCATCATGACTGAGGTTTACAACAAGTTTATCAAAGTTAAAAAAGACAAAAAGTCATTCATGCCTATTGGCTGCAAAGCCTGTAATATGCTG